AAATAGCATGTTTTGTCTGTTTTAGGGCATTTTAACATTGTTTCCTATGGACGGATATATCTCAAAAATTTGCTTGGTGATATATGTTGAAAAAATATTATATACCGGTTGTGTCTTATATGTACAAGGTACTTTTTGTGTTTTTTATTGAGGAAATGTGTTCTCATTGTGGTTTATTGAATCAGGTACCAACATGGCATTCTCTGCTTATGATTTTACCATTTTTCTTGAAAAACAGATTGACAGCGAATTAAAGAATTTGACGAATATTAAAATAAAAAGTTGTAGACAGATTTCGACACAAAATATTGCTACTGTTATACATGCCGGTGTATGTACTAAAATATGTGTACATTCTACCTTGAGGTTATGAACAAACTCTGCTACATACTGACTGTTAGTGTCAGTTACACCACAATAAATATGTGTGCAAATATTTTTTTATTTTTCAGATTCAACAAATTATAGAATTGGTATGGCCACTTCTGATATTTTTAATTCTGGTCTGGGTCAGAGGTCGTCAACCACCAGAACACATGCATGCATGTAAGTAAAATTGTTTTCAAGGGTAAATACAAATGAGGGTGCTTAAACTACTAGTAGTAACAAGATGTAAATAGCTTAGAAGGGTAGGAAAGCAAGTTAAAATTGTTCGATGATCTCCGTTACTCAAATTTTGCAATACATTCCTGTTATGTGATAGCTTTGTGATTGGATAAAAATGCAGATGATAGAGGGCTCGTAGTGGTAATTTAGTTTAGTTAACTTGTTTTCTTTACTCAGGTCATTATAACGGCAAAGCATTGCCATCAGCGGGTCTCATGCCATTTTTCCAGTCATTGATGTGCTATGGTGGTAATGAGTGTCATCGTAATCCAGTTACAAGTGAAACATCAGGAGTTGTGGATTCATTCAATACGTCTACGTAAGTGAAAAATATCATTTCAAACTCATTTACTAGAATACTGTGAAATGAAATACCGTACTTCCCCGTTCATAAGCCCAGGCCTGAACATGTAAAATGGGGAAAATTAGGGGGTGGGCTTATACTCGAGGACCACCTCAGAAAAGATAATTTGGAGGGGGGAGGAAAAAATGCGAAACGATCGAGTCGTCATTGATTTCCACGACACTTTTTACAATGAAGAAACAAACATGTTCATAAAAATATGCACATTTTATTACAATACGGTTTACATACCATCTGAATTTACAGTGCAAAATGGGTAGGGTCTGTGGGAAAACAGTCGAAGGCACGATCTTTATCATCATCTTTGTTGTGGAATGTTTTTGATCGTACGCAAACTTCCGCCATGATGTTTTTCATAATGATTTAACCTGAACAACCTTTCTTTGACCTAACAGGTTAAGTCTTTCGTTAACCAATCAAAATGCTGTGTCGTACAGACGAAGTTTTCCGATTATTGACGAAGTATTTTTTTTCAACGCAATGCGGAAGTGAATTACTGAAATATGTTTTCACTGATTCCGACAAAAAGCGGTGAACCATGTTCCGTACGTTCGCCCGCCATGCGAGAAATTAATGTGAGTTTTCTCGTAAAAGCTGGAACCAAACTACTGTTACCAATCACGATTTTTATGCAATGAAATACACTTTTTACATGCATATTTGTAATAAATGTCATCGACGCCCGGTAAAAACACCCTGGGCCTATACTCGGGGATGCCCTCAACTCGTTAAATGTCTAAAAACAGAAGGGTGGGCTTATACTCGGGAGGGGCTTATACTCAGGGAAGTACGGTATATTACTGATTGAAGCAAGTTTACTTAATATTAATTCTCTATTTGATTTCCCATGTCATCTGTATTCCTATGTAGCTTGTCTGGGTTATATGGAATGCTACAAAACATTGCATCTAACCAAACATTGATGATGGAATTGATATCAATCTGGAATATGACACAACCACTGCCTGGTAAGTAAATAGTCAACAAGACAAAATAAAAATTGAAAAAATAATTGAGACTTTCACTCCAAAAAATAACATATTTCTTTTAGGTATGCAAATCTCGGAAGTAGTCAATTTAAACTAATAACATAGAATAAAACTATAAGAAGAAGTAAAAAAACAAACATAATTTTTGTTGAAGGTGTCAGTCAGTGACTGATGGATCTATTATTATTGTGTTGACTTTAGTGCATAAGCTGTCATATGTTTACTTCTAGAAAGCATTGTATTGTAACTAACACTAATTTATATCTATTTTCAGATGGTTTCCCACTTGGTGATATTTTATCAAATCCTGACACACTTAATCAGATACAGTTATCACCAGATGCAGTTGATGCAATCAACAATGCTGACTTGACACCAGAACAGGTAAATATTGTGTTGTAAAACAGGGTGTATGTGAGTCTCTAATACTGGTATGTGAATGTAATGATAACAGCTGAGTGTAATCAATGACTTGTCTTTATAGATTAGTATGGGATTTTTTTGTTTGATGAGCTATTTTTGTTAAGTTAGACAATCTAATACCACATTTTTGTTTTCAAATATTTTGAAATTGTGTATTTGGTCACAAATTATTAAGGAAGAATTTATTGAGAAATTTTAGTGGAAAATGAGGGCAATCTCAATGTTATTATTGTGTCTTTGGTGAGAATGAAGAAAAGAAACATTGAAAATTATACATATTTATGATTGTTCTAAAAGTCATAAATAAAAAACACTAATTGTAATGTATGTGCATGCATGTGTTCCAAACATCATTCAAATGAATGCTTTGGATGGTATGATTTGAAGTTTATACATGTATAGTATTGGTCTAAGAAATGTATGCTTTAAATGCATGTCACAGGAAATTATGATTCAAAGCCAAATATGCAGAAACTAACCAAAGCACTACTATAATGGCTCTATTAAAAGTGCATGCAAGAACAAAGTACTGTTTTTTTTTTGTATTTTGAAAACGAAACTCAAAAAGTGATCAAGGAATGCTTGCATTATTTAAAATAGAACAAATACAGTATATATTCCTCCAACCATAATCCCTATCTTCTTTCATGGTACACCATAAGAATTATTGCCATATTTTAAAATGGTGTTGCTATGGTGAGACTCACCTCTATGTGACCTCTGACCTGTAACCTGTATTATTATTTTAGTTTCAAGATGCACTCAATGGTCAGGACTGGAGAAGCGCCCTCTGTGGTGACACTGCTCTATTAGGAGACCTGTTGTCCATGGATAATGATGTATTATTACAAGAAATACAATCTGAGATTTGCAATTTAAACTCATTGGATTTACTGTTAGCGGCAATGAGATTACAAGGACTAAATAATCAAGAAGCATATCAACAGATTGTAAGTAATTATAGAGTTTACTGCATGGATCAGCACCAGAGTATGACTAGGTGTTGTATTGAAATGTTGGTTGATAAACCGCATATGTTCACATTTCATGCACTCAACCATTTCACAATTTTAACATCAGGCTGAGATTTTTCTCATTTCCAACACCCTCAGAGATGAGAGCGCACTCCATTAAACAAATTTTTCAGATTAAACTGTTTAGTAATGAAAGCTATCATGTTTTAATTTTGACATTTTTTGCAAAAGTGTCAACTTTTAACCCAAACAATGTTTTTCTAAAATGGATATGTTAAAATAAACCTTATTTACCATGGAGATCTTCAGAAAATATGCAAATGACAGCAGTTTTTTGGGTATAAAGTTTGAATTGTTATTCATCACATTTTTCTTCCTAATTTTAGTTTGGTTTGATGGAATCTAAATTTTGGTCAAATTATTTTTTCAAATGCTAAATGTTATTATCCAAATTTTTAAAATTTTCTTCTTTGAAGGCTTGCACTTCATTTAAATATATTGAAGAATACGCAGGTTTTCAATTTACTGTTATGTTTACGTTGTGGTTGGTCAAGTTGTTTTCAACTATCATTTGAAAATTATATGTAATTTATATATAAAAAAAAAACAATCTTGCTTTCATGAAATTCATTGTATTCCAATGTTTCTTATTTTAATATTGATTGGAATATACACACAAAATATATTCATATTACGTTGAAAATGTTATATTTATCATATTGTTTTCAGTTGTCTGCTATTACAGGGGGTAGTGACATGGGTGACACACTGGGTGACATCACAGGTAAGGACAATCAGCTGACTGATATTTACTGTAAATGCATTCATTTATCATGGGTTTTTAATTTCACTATTTTTGTTAATACGTAAAATCTACTAAATTGAAGTGTTTCCCCGCCAAGTTTGTGAAACCCAGTGAAATTGCTCAAAATAGTTAAATTAAATACTAGCGAAAATAAATGGTTATAAAGTATTTGACTATCAAATAAAATCTTCATCTCATTTATTTATTTATTTTTGTGAACAGAGGGATTGCCATTGGCTGATTTACTATTAGATAGTGGTGCTGTCCGTACTTTTCTGGAACAGAATGTCAGTCTTTCTGAGAATGCAACAGATATCTTACTGAACTCTCCACTAACACCAAACCAGGTTTGTAGATTACATCTTTTTTTTGTGAGAATATGCACCATAACCTCATAATAGTGGATTGTCTTTCAGAAATCTGTATTACTCCATGTTTGGACAAAATCTGAAACTAATATTTTAGTTTTTGTGCATCTGTTGAGAACTCTATCTCAGTCATAACCCATTCATTTCAAACATCTAGTCTAATACATATGCAAATAATTTCATGATTTGGCCAAAGATGGCCAATCTTTCTTATGTTGGCCCATTCACTTCAATCTTGGTGTAAGGGTTAACCAGGCATTATGAGTATTTGAAGCAAGTCAATTTGATTTTTAAAATTTTCTCAAGATGCCATCTTTCAGGTCACTCAAATACTGTAACATCATATGCATTTTGCTCATGAGTAAATCTTGAGGTTATAAAATAGAAAGGTAAAAAAATATTCAGTATGTGTGGAACTAGAAGCTAAATTATCCTGAAATGTGTATTGTTTTGTGATTGAACGCAAATAAAGTATGTGTTTTGGTTATTATAATATTAATATTGATCAAAAATGTTTATGTGGTAGTATAAAATACTGTCACACAAAAATATCTCTTTACATTGCAGGTGCTTTATTAATATTCCAATAAAATTAACTATTTTTGTTTCAGTTGTCATCGCTGTTAGCTCAAGACAATATGCGTGATATTGTATGTAATACAACATCACTTGAACAATACCTAGATGTATCGGACCCTGTGACCTTACGTGAACTTAGCGATCAACTATGTCAGTTGTCAGACCAGCAGCTAAATGATTTGGTCGATGAACTCTCAGATCAATTCAGAGTAAGTAATCGTTGGTTAATTCACTCCTCCACTACTGAAATGAAATATACAATGTTGTGTTTGAGCTACAGTTGCTAGTCTGTGCAACTATGGGTTGTATTAAGAACACTAAATTATCTTTATTACTGTTAATTGACTCTTTATTTTTTTATAGATTAATGAGAATGGTACAGCGTTCTTTCGTGAATTACAGAAGAGATTGGAACTGTTAAATGACGAGGTAAATATTTCACAGATTATTTTTTCTGTAAAGCTCATTAACTACCCTAGTTGCCCGGGTACGCGCCCAGGGTCCTGAACATGGAAAATTGCGAAAAAAAGAGGTGGGCGTTTGCTCGGACATCCCCTACAAAAAAACAACAAACAAAATTGACAACACTCAGATTGAACTGCGGCGAGGAATCAAATGGCAAATGAAAACATGCAACGAAAATAAATGAACATTATGCAACGTTAGAAGTGTAACAAAAATAATTTATTGCTTATAATGTGACAAATAAACTAGAAATAATAAAACTTGAGGAATCATGTAAATTAGGATTTCCCTGCCGCAAACATGCCCATTACGCGTGAACTCAAAATGAACTAAAATGTAAGGGGTTAAAGAATTATTTCTGGTTTTGACAAATACTAGATCAATAATAACAATAATAATTTACAAATTTACACAGTGAAAATTATGAAAGTTCTTAGTTTGAAAAAATCTTTATTTGCACGTTCATTGCCATCTTCGTCAAAGTCTAAGCCTCAAAGTCCAAGTCGACGTCACTGTCGTCGTCTCAATATCTCTACAACTTTGTCTTGAAGTTCGTCAATGTCGTCGCACACAATTTGGACTTGGCACTTTTAATCCACGGATTTCGCTGTCTGTAAGCTTGGCATGTCTAATCACAAAAGACTCTTCTCTATCATCTTTGACCTTTAAGCATCTGCTTTACTGATTGGCTAAGAATGACACCACTAGTGTTTCTTCATATAGGTCAAGTCTTCAGCGTGACATTGCAAAATTGCTGGCCCCAGTTATGGATTCGCAAGCGGCTGCCAAATATTTTATAAAGCTAAAAAAACATGCTTTCAACCACTCTCCCGGGTACGGGTTGCTACAATATTGCAACATTGGTTTCATGGACGATGGCGCTAAAGCCGAACAAGTGCGACACTTGCTTTGCAGATTTCGATACTGTAAGATTTGCTTGAATCGTTTCTAAGGAAGTGCAAACCAATTGCCTCTTTTCAGGGCCACAAGGTATTTCAAAAAGAAAACTATCGTTTCTGCTTTAATATACATTTTGTAGACTTCCTGATTCTTATGATTCTGATAAAAATGTAAATTACTTATACAGCGATGCCCTAAAGGCAGAATGTGAAATCGGTTATTTTGGTTTAACCCCACGTTTTCTGCAATTGACATAAGTCCCCATTCGGACGCAATCCGAAAATGAGGACTTTTTTTTGACCCTTGTGTGTCCGTGCGTGCATCCGGACCTGTATCTTAGACATGCCTGGACCAATCACAATCAAACTTCACATATACATCATACATAATATTATACATATGCACATCAATTTGTTGCACGATCTGATTCAAGATGACCGAATAGCGCTCATTTTTGTTCTGAAAAATCATCAAAATCAAGCATTTCTCGACTGTTACAAATGGATTTTGTTCAAACTTAGTATATACATTAGACATTATGGGACCTTTTATCATTTTATTTTTCAGATTGGATTCAAAATGGCTGACTGGTGGCCATTTTGTTTTAATGAATGGGCTTCTAGAGCCATATCTACCGGGTATACATGTATTCAAAATGGCTGATTTTGTTTTAATTAATGCTGTTCCAAAGTAATATCTCTCAATATGGACAAGTACTCATTTGACGATCAAATACAAATGTTAATCATTTTAATGTTAAACAATCATCATAATCATATTCCTGACATGGTTATATTCCAGCTATATTACTGTAAAAAAAACTATATACTTTAAATTCAATAACTAACGGGGACTGTGCCATGCATGGCTTGTTTTTCAAGGTAGGTGTTGAAAAAGACCCCTGGGCGTATTGTATCAAAATTGGGGGTGGGCGTTTGCCCGGTCAACTACAGTAAATGGATATTTATAATGTGTAGGCTAGGGGAGTCATAATTACTCATTGGTTTTGTGTTTTCACCGATGCTTTGGGAGTAGTCATTTTTTAGTGTGCCTGGTGACAGTTCTGAACATAGAAATGCAAGGTACAAGCCCAGACAATTTTTATAGTGTATTTTTTTGGTCTAAACAAGCAGGAACAGGAATGAATCTTGGCCAGTGGGTTCAGCTCGTATTAACCAATGGTAGGGGTTGACCATGTAGTTTGTTGCAGCAACCACTATGCTACAATCTACTGACTCCACACTGAGGGACAAACCATTTGAGTTTTATTTGCAGTTGTATTTAGTTCATTCACTTCTACCCACATGAT